CTTCCAGGCCTATTCTCCATGGGGTAGAACCAGCCTGAGAGCAGAGGGAAGATGAAAGTACACATTTCCCTCTGCTGATGGCCAATTACAGGGCCGACCTGTTGACAGCTGACGAGTCTGATTCAGACATTGTAGCTTGAGCTGGGGTTTGGATTCTTTCAAACAATCCACACATAAGGAAAGGAAAATACCCATGTGATTTTCTCTGACACTTTCCCCAAGTTCCTTTCCCATTATTGTCGTTGCACATTCCAGAAAGAAAAAACATTGAATTGAGCATTACATACATTCCTCTCTGGAAGAAAACTAAGTGTGTGGATTTTATCATTAAAGTCCCTGTATACCAACTTACTTGGTAACCCGAGAAAATCTAGAAAAATTCCATGCCCTTCTTCCTCTGGCTCTAAATAGAGTTAATACATTGACTTCAAAGGCCTGCTAACTCTAGCATTGCTTTCATTTTCCTTGTTGATTATTGGATGGTCGAGAAAGATTCTCTTAAGTAAAAGCGAGAGAGCTGGGATGTCACTTGGGTCCTGGCAGGAAGCAGAAGGCACATTCAAAATGGGAGACTGAAGAGAGTTCATTAACAGATGATTTACAGAGATGTGGGTAAAACCACTAGGGATGAGGAAGCACCCCAGGGCTAACAACAGCTCTGTGGCCTTTCCCATCCCCAGGCCTGAAGGGGCAAGAACAGAAAGTGGTTTTAGGAATCTGGTGAGACCTGTCATTGTAGGAGCTGTGGTCTTCAGTAAGGAGTGCAGCTACCTCCAACCCACACCCCAGCAGGGAGAGATGGGGAGTAAGTACCCCAGCCTCATTCTCTCTGCCCCTGACCTCCTGCTGGGCCTCCCTTTCAGTGCATCCAACAGGAAACTAGAGGGCAAGAGAGCCCAGCCAGTGTAGTCCATAAAGGTCAACCTCCCAGGGCGCAGAGCAGGGTGGAGAAAAGCAGAATGGATCCAGGGGACAAAAGGAGAATATCCCCCAGAGCTGAACAAACAGCCCCATAGTCCACCCTAAAATAACAAATCTCCATATAGTCATCTACAATGCACTCACTTCCTTCACAGTGTGTTATCATTTGAATAACTGGGAATACCTATACATATTCCAATTTATTATCACTGCTCTTATTGAAGCTAGAAAATTGTATTACCCTTAGATGTCAGAGTTGGAGCAAACCAAACTATTTAGCCACTGTGAGACCTTGAAACCCTTATCAGGCTGCCTCCACCTCTGGTGACTGCCCCACTGTAACACAAGAGGCCCCCACTGGAAATTCCAACAGCATAACTACAGTTGCTCTGCCTGCTCACTGTTGATTTTCCTCTCTCCTCAGCTCCTGCAGGGTGGAATGTCAGCTAAATGGCAGGGAGCCTGCTCACCAAGGGGCTGGCTGATTGCTTTGGAAACCCAGCCCTCTCCTGGAATTTAATAAAAACCACCCCAAAACACCCAGACACAGGGTGGGGGCACTGGTTCTTTAAATGATGCTTTTCTTTAAGGGGGGAAAAAATCTATCTATGCCAGTAAGAAAAAGGAGAGAAAGAATCTAGTTTTTCAAAGATAGAAAAAAAAAATGTTTTTAATTTGCAAATTGGCTAATTCCATTCCTTTGCACAAAACTCTTTGATGGCTATCACTGCAGAGGGAATGAAGTTCAAGTGCTTTTGCCTGAGAGCTAGCCTCAGCTTTTTCTACCAAACTCATTATTCTCCTTCAATTACCCTTCTTTCATCTAACTGGGTAACCTGGAGGGCATTTTCTATGTGATTCCAGGTATACTCCCAGACACAGCTTTTCCACACTGTAGGCCAGTGGCAAAGGTGATCCTGGCAAAGGTGATCCTGTTCCTCAGGATACATTGGCCATGTCTGGAGATGCTTTCGCTATGCTGAGGCAGGTGATGCTGCTGGGAAGAGTCCAGGGATACTGTTAAACATCCTACAGTGCCCAGGACACCCCCATAGCAGTTATGCAGTAATTTAGTCAGTGTTTTCACTGCTGTGACCAAAACACTGGACAAGAACAATGTAGAGGAGGAAAAGTTGATTTAGTGCTCACAGTTTTGGAAGTCTTAGTCCAAAAGATGGCCGAATCCATTGCTCTGGGCTTGAGATGAGTCAGCACATCATGGCAGAAGGGTGTGGAGAAGGAAAGTAGTCCAGGACATGACAATCAGGAAGCAAAGAGACAGTTCTACTCACCAGGGACAAAATATATACCCAAAAGGCACATGCCCAATGACCCACCTCTTCCAGCCACACCCTACTGCCTACCATTACCACCCAGTTTATTCTTATCAGAGGATTAATGCAGGATTAGGTTAAATCTCTAATAACCTAATCATTTCACCTCTAAACTTTCTTGCATTGTCTCACACCTGAGCTTTTGTGGAACACCTAATATCCAAACATGCTGCTCAAAGTGTCAGTTGTGCTGAGGTGGTGAAGTCCTATTAGAAACTATGCCCAATTATTATTCAGCTCTTCACATTGAAATCTCATCTATTCATCAGCGTCAAAGCACTCACTGTACAATCCAGTGGCCACTTCTCACATGTGGCTTTTAAGTACTTAAAATGCAGCTTGTCCAAACTCAGATGTGCTGTGTTGAACTACTAGTCAGGTTTCTAAGGGTTGGTATAAAAAATGGAATGTTGACTGTTTCATTAATTTTTATATGGATTACACATTAGAATGATACTATTTTGAATATTCTGCTTAAATATAATACATTATTGTGGTTAAATTTACCTATTTCTTTTTACTTAATTAATGTGGCTACTAGAAAAGTTTAAATTACATATATGGCACAATTATATTTCTATTAACACTGGTCTAGACAGAGATTGGCAAAAATTTTGTCAAGGGCTAGACAGAAAATATTTTAGGCTTTGCAGGCCGCATACCGTCTCTGCCACATGTCTTTCTCTTCTTCTTTGTCATCTTTATTTCTTCCTCCTCCTTTTAAAAATATAAATCTTTTAGAAATTAAAGCACTTTTAAACCTTTAAAAAACATAAAACCTCTTTAAAATATAAAATCTTCTTGAGATATAGAAACCATTCTTAACTCAAGGGGTAAGAAGTAGACCTTGGGCCCAGAGATAGCAGGTGGCCATGGCTGTGGACCTATGGAGGTCAGTGAGATCCAGAAGCCACTCTCCCTGCCTTCCTTTCATAGTGGACTTCTTGGACTTCCCTACACCCTTCCTTCTACAAATTCTAGTATCTGCATCTCAGCCCTTTCTAAATCCTTGGCTCCTAGAGAGTTGATATCGTCTTTCCCAAATGTGGATCCTCCAGTGACTGGCATGGTGCCTCATGCCCAGCACGGCCCAGTGAGGGAGATAGCAGCATACAGGGGGGAGGAGCCCAGGCCACTTGGAGGTCTTGGCCCTGCCCTCCTTGACCTTCCACTTTCTTCTTCTCTAAGTGGAGCAAATGAGGAACCTAACTCAGAGAGTGAGTGTGAAGATTAAATCCAAAATAAACAACAGAGTCCTTGGTCCTCTGCTCTGAGCATTGCCGTGCATCTCATTATATCATTATCACGTGTATGTGATTAATTGTTGCAATTACGAAAACATTTGTTGAGTTATAGAGATGAAAGGAATGTGAAGATGATTCTTATTATTCTCCATGTTGTTAATGATTGTTCTTAAAAACCCAACTTTTTACTGAATTACATTATAAAGCCTATAGAATTATGCTCTTCTATTTCCAAATATTTGATTGTTTTTCCAGGGAGTTATATCCATACATAAATGAGTATATGTTGGCAGCTCAGAATTAACAGGGTATTTTTTTTTTTAAGTTCTAAATTCCTTTCAAATGGGAACGAAGTGTTCTCCTGACCCTTCCTACACTCCATATTACTGTCGACATCTGCAACTAATTGATGATCTATAAGTCAAAACTGTGACCAATGCAAAAAACCTTTAGCTAAGCCCGCCTCGGCTTGGCTGACCCTCCTTAATATATTTCAGATTAAGACTAAAAAAGGCACCTTTTAACTGTCCAACCGAGCACCAAACAGTAGCCACGAGTATTTATCAAACATCAAATAATAACATGATCAGATAACATGCTTACCAGTGAAAATCTAATTTAGAGCTTTTTAAAAGTTTCATTTAAATTTTTAAACCCAGAGACATTTTTGAGAGGTATAGAGAAATATATTGTCAGCATGCAATTTAATTGATTAAAGTAACTCTTTAAGTCAACAAAATCAAATTATGACCATCTGAATAAATTCATAGTAAATCAATGACATTAAAAAAAAAAACTCACAAGAAAAGCCAGCATGCTATTCTGGTAAAGGATTTGGGACCTCCTCAAGCCTGTTTCCTCATCTGGGAAATGGTGACAAGAAGAAGCTTCCTTACATAGGAATCCTTGATAAGAATTAAGTAGGATTCAGTTAAAGGGAAATAGAAACTATGTTTCAAATACCAGTAACAAAAAGGGGACAAAATGTATAATCTAGACTTAAAGTAACAATATCTTTTAAAATTAAATTAAATAGAGGTAGTAGAGTCTGGCTCTTTGTGTTTACCAACTGGCCTCATCTGTATTCTTCAGAACAGTCAAATAAATAAACCTGGAGCCAACTTCACAGCTTGTTGCTAATCACCAACTGCATTGAACTGGGGGCTCACACACCATGATTTGTTTCATCAGGCCAATGTCTTAGTTCTAAGGCCAGTCCTCCCCAGGAACAGTCACAGATACCTCATCTAAGTTTTGGTTTCATTCTTCACAGAGGATGCTTCTCTTTCTGAGATGTACCATGGGATAGACTGCATTTTGTCACGCCACCCTAAACACATGCTCCCCAAATTGGTAAAACTCTATCCAGACATTTTTATGAGATGTGATGAAGAAATAGAAATTTCACTTCAGAAATATAATTGTTTATTTAAAAACCAGATTTGATATAAAAGATATCTGTATTTTAAAATTATCAGTAGCCTTGAGAATGATGGTTGGATTTTAGATATATATTTTTTTAATTTGTTGTTTTTAGATATACATGACCGTAGGGTATATTTTGACATATTATAGACTTTCTTTTTTCTTGACATCTGCACATCTCTAGCTCTGGGTCAGGTTGTAGACACCTTCTTCCATTCCAGCTGCCACTTCTCAGTGCTGGATGGCTAACCTATAAAATGAGGTGGGAGATACAAGATCCTCAGAGCCAAGCACATAGTCAGAGTGGCCGTATTCACCCCAAAGGGATAAATTCCTTGGGCTGGATGACTGACTTGCGTTAGTTTCCCTTTACCTTTAGGGTTCTGAACTTGTTCAGAGTTCAGGAGTGTACCAACCACCAGCCCACATTAAAGCCCTTCAGGCAGCTAGGCCAGCCCTGACTGAAGGCCAGGCCACCAAGAAGCCCTGAATGCCATACTCTGGATGCATTTGGAAGAAAAGTGGTTTTCCTACACTTGAAGCTATTGATGGTTTGGCCTGTCCCCCTTCTGTGGTCAGGATAGGAGAAATCAAATATCAATAGTGACTGGCACCTCCATCTCTCCTCCTACCCAAGCACACACTGAAGCAGGGAAGAGAAAAAGGTGGCTATTGACTTAAGTACCTCCAAGGTGCTTAGGCAAGATGCTTGGTGCTTTGTATATATTGTCTCATTTAATCCACCTCTGGAGTTAGGTGTTTTTATCCCCATTGAATAGCTGAGAAATTTCAGAGATCTTAAGTCAGTTGACTGAGGTCCTGTACATAGATCATAAGCCACAGAGACCAACCCAAGTTTGACCAATATATTCAGATTCACCCCCAAAAGGGAGTGTGCTAAAATTGTTCCATAAATCCCAGACCTGACAGAGGGTCACCTCTATCAGGGTCATTGCGACCATCTTTTTTCCAATGCTGAACACACACACACACACACAGAGTAGAGGATGCCAGGGGGATATGGTTGCTTTGATCTGCTCCAGGTTCCTAATTCAGAGCCCTGGAGTCCTCCACTCGGCTTGAATTCATCCTGAGCCGAGGGCTGGCCAGGTCTCAGAAACGCAGGGCCGTCCATCACTTGTGTCTCAGGCTTGCTCCTCAGAGAGCCCGAGTCGACCACAACCGCCTTGGCCCCGTTCCACTGTGAGGGAGTCACAAAACTGGCATTTAAGTCCAGAGCGGAAAAAACACCCCAAGCTTGTTCGTTTTTCTGACAGGTGCTGGAGCCCATGAAAGGTCAGATTCCAGCGCACAGTCACATCCTGGCTTAGCTGGCTCCAGGCACACAAAGGCCTGTCTGTCTCTCCAGAGCGCGGGGAGCAGGGACCGAGGCCAAGGGCTTAAAATGGCTGCCCGATGGCCCGCTCCTGCTGATCCATTCCTTCACGGACATTGGCCTAAATGAAGCATTGGGAAGCCCAGCTGCCAAAGATGTGTGAAACAGGCAGAATGAAGAAGAATGCAGGCTTTTTCTTCTGTGTAATTGCCAGAGATATTAACACCCCCCCCCCCCCCCCCCCCCCCCCCCCCCCGGCAGCCCATGAATCCAGGCCCTGACTTGGCCTGCTGTGGCTCATTTGTAAGAGCCCTGGGACACTTGTGTTTCATGTTCAAAGCCTTGCTGGGCTGGAAAATTGAGTGAGAGCTGTCCCTCCAAGCCCTCTGCAAGGATCGAGGGAAATGAAGGAGTTTGTTCTCTTCCTCACCGATGCATCCGGGAGTGCTCAGGGTCGCAGTGTTGTTGGAACAGAGGGTGTGTGTTTGAATGCACGTAGCCACATGCCTTCAACCAGGAACGTTTGTTTTTGCAGCCTTTATGAAAACATCCCCCGATTCAAAATGGCTCCAAGGACCCACGAGCCTGTATTTGAAGTTCCTTACCACCAGCGGTAGGCTGAAGTTCTTTTCATATCTCTAACCTTCTCCAAAGGAGCTCTAATGACCCCCCACCTTTCTAGTCACATGACTCCTTTCCCTTTCCTCCCCAGCTAACTTTGCACCAAACTGTGAGGCTGCTAGCAGGCAGGTAGTTACAGTAGCTACTGCACATCATCCTTGTGAAGATGATCTTGATCTTACAGTAAGAAGTGTAATTGAAACTTCTTTTAAATAGCAAGCTCAGAGTACCAATAAAAAAAAAAAATTTTTTTTTAACCTGCCTACTCAGGCAAATGTTTTTTTAAAAGTCATTTTAGAGTCCTTTCTTTTCCTACCACTTGAAAATTAAATCCTGACAAGAAACTTTCTCAGGGAACTAAGCCGCAGGCTGGAAACTGAGGCCTGGCTACTCATTCCAGCTGTGTCCTGGGGCTAACATGTTCATATTCAGAGCACCTGGAAGCCTCAGATTTATTGTGAGCACCACAAAAGACTGACAGCAGAGCTCTCCTTGGGCCATCTTTCCATGTGTCTTGAAAGTGTCCCCAAACTCTAAAAGTTCTGTCCTTGCCACAGTCCATTGGTAAGACTCGTAAGTTTCACCAAAGTGTTAATTCAGTGAATTTTGGCTAGTAGCCTATGTGAAAAGGTAGGGTGTCCTTGGGGCCTGTCACATGGTCACTTTATAATTAAGTCTCCCCTTCTCTTATCAAGGGACACAGACACTTCCCTAGTAAGCATGTTGATGGCTGCACCCATTATGTGCACACATAGCTAAGCTCTTTTCAGGCATTAATTTTCCTACTACTTTATAAAGTAGATATGTTTTATTCCATTTTATAGAAAAGGAGCCTAAGGCTCAGAGAGGCCACTTGATAAGGTAAAGTCAGCACACAAATCTTTACCAAATCAGACTCCAAAGACTGTGCTATTAGCCACCATGCTACAATGCCTCGAAACCTAATGGGGCTATTAAGAATAAATAATTTCTGATAATCTTTTTAAATAGTAGAAAACATTTTGGTGAAAATGACTACCACTTATTGGGCAGTCAGTATGTGCTGGGCACTATTAGGAGCATTGTGTAAATCTCTTATAACATTCCTTCAGGGTAGGTATTCATGTTCCCATCTTATATGTTAATGGCTTGATAGACACAAAAGACAAAACCAAACCCCCAACTTCATTCAAGAGTAAGAGACTTTGGCAATTCAGCTCAACCACATACAACATAAATTTGGCAGCAAAAAAACTCAGGGCTAAGTTGTGCTGTCGTTGTTTACAATGAATCAAAAGACATTCTGCTGTCATCTATACCTAATTAGAATAAATACATAAATTCGTTAAAAAATTCAGGGCTACATTGCTCTTATTTATTATTATCAGAAATCATAACTATGGCATTTCTTGAGCATAGAATGCCATATCATGTAGGGCTCCTTTCTTGGTAGGCTCATTGTTCCATGTGGGGGATGTCAGCTTTCCAAAAAAATGTGATTCCTGTGATTTCCAGACTGCCTGGGGCTTCATATGTGTGTGTATGTGTGTGCGTGTGTGTGTTTGCACATATCCCGCTATGTATGTCTGTCAAACTGCAGGGAGCTTTCCCTCATTTAAACAGCCAATTAAAACCCACTTTGGCACTTAACACACGTCACTGCTTCTCAGTGCTCAGCTGCCTTCCTGGCAGGCCTTTAATTTGATAAAGAGCTTCTAATAACGACTAACAGAGGCCCAGTAAGTTAATTAAACCCTGTCCTTTATTTTGCTTTCAAGGTGTGCCCTCCTCATAAAAAGCCCAAGGTTTGTGCTCGCAAATGACTTTAGACAATGTTCCATGCTTCAACGGGAAAAGTATGTCTGTCATGTCCTGGCAAGTTACAAGTAAAGACTCAATTTCAGCACCATGTCAGACTTTCACGGAGGCCAGAAGCAGATGGGAAAAAAAAACCCTCTGCACCCAAGAGTATGGAGGCCAGAGTTAGAAATGGAAGATGAGTTTCCTCTGAGAGTATTATGCTGAAAGATGGCCTGGCTGTCATATCAAACTCCATTATCCCATTTCTTTAAAGTAATCTAAGAGTCCAGATGGGTTGTATAAACAGAAGAGGAGGTTCCTGCGAGTTCACTCTCTTAATGAAGCCCGTATGTTTGACTCATGTAATAAGTATTTAATCATGCTGATGAAATTCATTTAAACTTCAGCCACACACACTGTAGCCGAAGCCCTGATAAGGCCCTACATCACTTGAGTCAGCAACAGCGGAACCAGGTAGGTGAGGCCAAAAGTGGATGGCATCTTGCAGGGAAGTGGGCTTTGGAGGGCACCACATGGAAAAGATAATGAACCCTGAAAAGCTGGCTTGTAGACCACTGTCTCTGAGTCCTTGCCGTGGTATGCCACATCTGTCATGATAAGATGCTGAAGATATAACAGATCAGAAGGTACATTAGAAGCAAAGTTTCTGCTGCATGTAATAGAAACCCCCCATAAACCAGCTTGAACAATCTGAAGGTTTTCTGAATACAAAGCAAAAGTCCTAATATATACGGCTGCAAAGCTGGTTCATTCAGAGCTTTCTCCACCTCTGTTCTGCACTCCGAGGTATGTGCAGTTGTCCTCAGGCCAGCTGTCTCCATGATCACAAGATACGCCAGCCAGTACCACATTACAGTCAATAATGGCAGTGGAAGAAGAGAGTCATTCATTCCTTCATTGATAAAGAATCTTTTCTTAAAGTGTCTCAGTCCCACTCCTGAACATTTTCTGTTCAAAAGTCAATTACTGGCAGTGGGATGGGATCACCATGATTGACTCTTTATCTCTGAGTGGCAATAGGGCAGTGTCAGACTGGAGCCAGCACATACCAGCTGGAGAAAGCTGATAGTGAACATCTCTTCCCAGTCCTGCCTTAGTGACCTCATGGTGGTGGCTTTAAAGTGGCCATTGTTGGACTGTTTACACCACAGGGATTGTCAAATACTATATATCAAGGTTTGGTTTTGTTTCCTGAAGATCCAAATGATAAGCATTTACCAGTGCAGCACTGTGACAGGATCACCTTGCTTATAGTTGGAGCCAGAATAAAACTGGGGTGCTTGTAGCTAGAAGAAAAGTAGCTAAGTGAGCTCAGAATGAGCAATCCACAATATCTGCCTGAGAAGGGCTTGGGTTGCCCACTGGTTTTTCTCTGGGAAAACATAGCACTCAGAGACTAAGGAAGATTGAAATAACTTATAAACAGTAGGGGGAAAAAGTGGCTTTAGAACTATCCTTAAGGAACCTGCTCAGGTAGGAAGCAATTGTTTCATTGATTGGCTTCATTTTTCCACAGAAAATTTAAAAGCTTCTCTAAGGGAGATCTTGGTTTTCTTTTAGTTAAAATGGCTTTCACATTGCTATGCATTATAATCACCTAGTCTACTAACACAGCAGGCTTCTGGGATGTTCCTCTAGCAATCTAGCTCAGCAGGCTGGAGTAGGGCCCAAGACCCTGCACCTTTAACAGTCACCTTCCCCACCCCAGAGTGACCTAGATGTGAGTTATCTGAGAAGCACATTCATAAAGAAAAAGAAAATGCTTCCCTCATGGGCCTAACCCAGAGGTTGGCAAACTAGTCCATGAGCTAAGAATGGTTTTTATGTTTGTAATGGTTAAAAATACCAAAAGAATACTATTTTGTCATATTAAAATAATGTGAAATTCAAACTGCTGTGTCTATAAATAAAGTTTTATCGGAACACAACCACACTCGTTTGTTTACATAATGTCTGTGGCTGCCTTTGTACTATAATGACAGAGTTGAGTAGTTGCAACAGAGATCATATGGCCTGCAAAGCCTAAAATATTTACCATCTGGCCTTTCTGGAGAAAGTTTGCCAAGTCCTGGTCTAACAGGTTTCATTCAATTGAAGAACTAATGGCATGGAGAAGACTTGGTCTCCCAGTTCTCTAGCAGAAGGATCCCAACCAGTTAGGCACATGCCAGGGGCTGCATCAGACACCTTGCAGCCTGGGTGTCAGTCTGAAGCTCTGATGCCTTTGGCTCAAGGACTGACAGTCATGGCCAACTGTCTCTGTCTCGGACTGTGGGAGAGCCCTGGAGAGATGGATTTTGGAGATGCTAATGGTGTCTTTCCTAGTGACATACTCCAACCCATCTCAAACTGATAACCATCATGCCATCATCCATGGAACCTCTACTCTCTCCACACCTGTCTTTGTCCATTTTCTGTAGCTATAACAGACTACTAGAGATTGGGTAATTTATTTTAAAAGAGATTTACTTAACTCACAGTTCTGGAAGCTGAGAAGCTCAAGGTCACTGGCCACATCTGGCAGGGTCCTCATGCTACATCCCAGCATCACTGATGGCATCACATGACAGCAGCACGTGCAAATGCAGCAAAAGAGGAGAAACAACCTTGGTGTGGAACAACCCCTTCTCATGGTAACTAATACAGTCCCACAAGAATAAGAACCCCCACAAGACAGCATTATTCTCTGCATGAAAAAAGATCACTGGTGACTTGAACACCTCTCAAAGGTCCCACTACTTCTTAACATTGTGACATTGAAAGTCAAGATTCAACATGAGTTTCAGAGGGGACAAATCACGTAACACAGTAAGGTCAGAAGAGAGAGTGGCTACAAACTCACTCAACAAATGGCTCCTCTCCTCCCAGAACTTATACTTCAGCTGAGAAGGAAATACAGAAGACTTCTAGGCAGGGCAAAGATAGCAGTAGTTCCATTTCAAGCTGTGGGACTTGGGCAAAATCAACACTTAACCATCCTAGGTCAAGGCTCTTGAAGTCAGGGTTCTCCACAAAAAAGGGACGCCCCAAACCATGCAAAAGAACAACTTCCAAGGCTGCTGGCCTTGACTAATGGCTCTGCAAGGTTCCATTCAAACAGTATTGTTGACAGAATGTTGCTGATGAGGACACAGAATGTGAACCTTAGGAAGAGGGGGACTCAGAAGAGGGGACTAGACAAGGATGAGGGATGAACACACAGGAAGGTGATATGGAGAAGGATCGTGAGAGGAAGTGTAGGTTGGGTGAAGAGACCCTTGCTAGGGTTGCATCATGGTAGTTAGGCTACACAGATCAGGTCGTATTATAGAGGATGCAGAGCCAGAGTCCAAAATGTATACTTAATTCCAAAGGGAAAGGAAAGCCAGGGTTGGGTTTTTAAATGTAAATTTTGCATTTAAAAACATTTTTTAAATAAAGCACAAGTCATAAGTAAATTTCCATTAAATGAGTCCATCCATCTAACAATGTTTCTGTATCTGCACTGCTCCATTAAGGCATCTCCTCCTGGCATATAATTAGCAGTAACAATAATCAGATGACTTACAGTTATATGAACTGTCATTATTTAAAAATCATATTTACATGAATTATTTAAGTTTTCCAGTGTCACTTGATGGGTATTATTACTATTATCCTCATTTTACAAAGGCAAAAGCAACAAGATTGTCTATTAAGTAGAAGAAATTGTACTCTACCATTTATATCCTCACTCCATTATTGGTTCAATCATTAAAATGATGCTTTAGATATATATTTATTCATATAGAAACATGGCCAAAATATATTATGGTGTTTAAGAAAATAGACAGGAAAAGAGTCAGATAATCTATGTCTTTTTTTTTTTTTTAAAGAGAGAGAATTTTTTTAATATTTATTTTTTAGTTCTTGGCGGACACAACATCTTTGTATGTGGTGCTGAGGATCGAACCCGGGCCACATGCATGCCAGGCGAGCGTGCTACCGCTTGAGCCACATCTCCAGCCCCAGATAATCTATGTCTTAAGGAAAGTATCATGGGGTGGAAAACCAGAGTCAGGCCATCTGTGTACAAACCCTAGTTCTGACATTTACTGGTTATATGACCTTGGACAAGCCATGCAAATTCTGGAAACTTTACTTTTCCCCTCTGCAAAATAGGTATAATATCTCATGTGGCTATACTGCCGATTAATCAGAAAATCTACATGTGGTAGCAGAATAATGACACCCCTCCTGAAAAGATGCCTATGTCTTTGGGATCCTGCTGTCAAGCCCTCATCACAGCCATGTCAATCCAGGTGAGCTGAGAGGTGTATTTGGAGCCTTTTGGGAGCAGAGGAAACCATTCACAGTTGGTGACTGCCTTAGACAGGTGCCAGGAATTGGAAGGGTTGGTGGTATTTCTGTTTTGTCCCAAACCATATTCTGGGACAAATTAAATTGTTTTATCTAAATGGCCTGGATTTAACTGCTGTTTGAAATTTTTACTAACTCACTTAGTGCCCCTTAAATATCTGGATTCCCAACTACTGTCTTGGAAGGAGGCAGTATAATTTCCTTACTGAGCACATGAGCGTTGAAATCACATGTCCAACTTTAAGCTCTCCCAATTACCAGTGGTATGATCTCAGTTAACCTTCCAAAAGTCCAGTTAGCTCCTCTGTAAAAGTCAAATGATGATGTGTTCCTGACAGGTTTTGAGAGGATTCAATGAGAAGATGCCAAGCACTCAGCACAGTACCTGACAATAAGCACTCCATAGTGGTAACACACAGTCCCAATTGCCCACAATGTGCCATCTCTCCAAGAGAAAGGACTGCTACAACCACCACTGCAGCCATTCTCTCCTCTGCCACTGTCATGAGGCCCAAAGCATTCACAGGCTCAGTGCAGACTTGAGCACACACAGGTCTGGGAGGCCCCAGAAGCCCAGTGAGATGGCAGCCATGTGCAGCAGCCTGGCAAACTCAGAGAAGCATCCCTGGCATCCCAGGGTCCTGACATCTCCTACTGCTGGCTGCCACATGTGGAGCTGAAACATAAGCAGCCTGGCTTACATCATTTCTCTGAGGAGAATGCCAAGGGTCTGCCATGGGTGAGATTGGGGAGGTTTGGTGTGAGCTACCACTCTTCCTCCTCGTCACGAGTGAATGGCAGGAGGTAAGGGGCCTTGACTCACTGGGGGATTGGTCAAGGTGTCCTGCCTATGATTTTTCCATAGTTATCTACCTGATAACTGCCCAAGTACTCCCTGGGTCTTTGAGTGAGTTAAAGTTCTTGGCCAAGAACCCCTGGCTTTCACAGCTGGCAAAGCTGGGTGAACCCCTCCCACTCTATCTTGGCTGTTTCTCTGCCACCGCCCATACCCCAAAGACACCATTGCTTTAATGTAACACAAGAACAATGCAGGGCACCCTGTACTGAACACAGAGAGGTGAGTGGCCACTTTCTCATTTTCTTGGAGCAAAGAGATGACTTTGAAAAAAGTTCAAGGACCTTCATTGTATAACACAAACAAAGTGGGTCAAGGCATTGGCTACTTTGTAGCTGATCTACTCCTATGGAAGGAAGCTCTAACACCCTAGAGTCTGGTGGCAAGAAATCAAGATAAGACGGAGTGCTGGAAGGAAGGAAAGAAGGGAGTGGAGAAAGGAAGGAAAGAAAATTTGACCTTGTAGTTTTAAATCAGGTTTATTTCAGAGGGGCAACTACCAAAGCCCTAACAAGAGCACCATGGCTGGTACTGTGACCCAGGAACCATATAAAGTACTGAAGGTGCCAGAAGAATGCATACGGCTAATGACCAACAGCCACCCCTCCCAACCCCCGACAGCAGGTGCAGGGAGGAGAAGAGACAACTGGAGCCTCTTTGTCTTTGTCATCTTAGACCATAGTGCCCACAAATGATGTGAAGCCCATTTGTTCTGGGAGGGAGAGAAAGAGGAGAAAAGGAAAAAAAAAAAGATCAGCTCACTCTGGCTCCATAGATCACTGGAAGGGAACGACCTTTCCGGGAAGTTGGAGCTCCTACCTGGAACCACACTGACAGTGAACCTGGGTGTCCTAAGTCACCAGGGTTCTGCCAACAGCAGCCCCACCCACTGGCCCAGGGCAAAGGTGGGGGTTGTTTTGCTGGGAGCTGAGACAGGGTACTTTCCCAGAGGACTGGGGGCAGGCATCTGCCAGACCAGGGACACAGGCCCATTTTGTGTGCTGCCCCTTGGGTGTGATTGGGAAGAGAGAACAGTAGTGGATGGCTGTCCCTGGACTATGCTAAGGCCTGGCATAGCTGGAATGTCCTTGGCCAGCTCTTTGTGAGCAGAGTCAGTCAGCAGATGAGTCTCATGATCAGATGACTTGGGCTTGCTGGAGTATTTTCCCCAGGTTTCAGAATCATATGAGGTAATTGGAGTGTCCTCGCTGTCCTTGTTAGATCCCTCAGGTAGCTCTCTCAGTTCTAATTGGTCAGCTGGTACTGAATTTGTTTAGCCCAAGTGGGCATGCCCAAATGGTAGATGTGCCAAGGTAGAATTATAATAGTTTACCACATTCTCCCATCTGTCACAGAACAGGACGCATACACAAAAAAAGAACAGCAGGTGTCCCTTTTACCACCCCAGGTGGACTACACATATTCTTGGCCCCCCACCCTTTACCACCATCAGAACCACATCCCTGTTCACATATCTGCCATGGTCTTTTAAAAGGCTCTACTCCAATGTCCTTACTTCTGGAAAGTCTTCCATGACATCTCCCACCACCTCATGTCACCAAATACCAGAGGACCAATAAGAACTCTTCTTTCCTGCATTTGTTTAATAAACAACAATTAGGCTCCTGTCTGTGCCAGACGCTGTCCATACAGAAGAAACAAAGACTCGTGCAGTCCCTGTCCTCACAGGGCTTGCTTTCTTGTGGATTAGAGAATTCATTTAGATACAAAAAAATAAGATGGCCATGTTCAGTAAGTGTTTTAAAGGAGGCAAACAAGAAGATGGGAGAAAATAAAAAGGACCAAAATGAAGAAGCTACTGTAGAGGGGCTGACAAAGGTCTCCTTGATGAAATGACATTTCAGCAGAAACTGGAAGATGAGAGGAGCTGGCTATGCATGGTGCAGAGGGGACATATGCGCAGAGAGAAGACCAGTGAGCAGAAGGGACAAACTCCACTGTGATTGGAAGACAGGCTCAGATTGCTCAGGGTGGAGAGGTCACCTTGTGGGGAAGGTGGAGAAGAAGTTGGGTGTTAGCTCCTGCTCAGGGTGCTCCAATCATTTGTTTTAACTCTCTCTCATTAGATGTGCTTCTGACTTCTTCCCATTAGTTTAGTTCCCTACCTTCCAAGTTGGGTGCAGATCCTTTAAGGGCAGGATTATCTTTGGCACCATGAGTTGTGGGTGGATGGGATGCACAGTTGGTCCCTGACCACCTGAGTAGATTTCACATCTGTCTGCCCACTCCCCTTTCCCTCCTCTTCCAAAGTTGTGGAAGAAGTCCTAGTTGGCTCCTCTTGAGGGACAAAGGGGATGCCTAGCCAAGTGGTCAGAGGAACTGGCCTGACCTTCGTCCTAAGATAACCTTGGCACCTGAGATACAAAGTTCACAGGCCTGGAACTGCTTCAGGCTCTGAGAGACTGTCCAGCTGCTGGCAGTGCCAAGGGTGTTCAGTGAGACTGAGCACCTTTTATGGGCTCATACATGTTTTGCACACATGCCTGAAAATTGTGATCACTTTCTCCCTATTGTGTAGAAATTGTTACCTTATATAATAGCTCATAAAAATGAATCAAGTTAGGGGCTGAGGTTGTGGTTCAGTGGTAGAGCACTCACCTAGCATGTGCGAGGCACTGGGTTTGATCCTCAGCACCACATAATAGTAAACAAATAAAATAAAGGTATCATGTCCATCTATAACTAAAAAGTAAATAGTTAAAAAAATGAATCAAGTAATAGCTGCTCATTCAATACACATGATCTGGTCTGCGGCAACAAGCACTGATTGGGCGTACACTTTTCTTTTTCAGTTAAACACGTTTCCATGTCAGGCACAGGGATGTCAGGAAGAACAATATAGCCCCTGCCTTCAGAGAGCTTATAGTCTAGTTAGAAAAAAAATACTTATAAACAAATAAATAATACAAAGTATTCTATGATGTAGACACCAGTTCAGTTTACACAAAAAGTGATCAATTTCACCTGGGGAGGAAAGAGAGAGAGGGTGGCATCAGAAAGATTTCTATTTGTTAGAAAGAGTTACTCACTGATGAGACAGAGGACATAAAGAGCCCTTCAGGTACAGGAAGCAGCATCAGCAAAGGGGCAAAGATGTCGGAAACCTAAGTTGCATTAACTATAAAAATATTTGACAAAGTTCAAGAGTCAGAGATTGGAGAAGAGGGGAGGTAGGTAGTGGGATTTGTGTGCTGGACTTAAGAACTTAGACTTGACCGTTTTGGCATAGGACAGGGGATGGTAAGGTCATGTTTGCCTCAGGGAAGGATTGCTAGGTTGCCAGTGTGGAGACTGGGGGAGAGGGATTTGACCTAGGAGGCCAGGAAATCAGTCCAGGCATGAGTGGAGGACAGTCCTTTGCAATAGCCAAGGGTTGAAAGAAAGGGAAGATTCTGGAAGTGTGAAGAAGTTGGAATTTCCAGGACTGAATGCTGCCTGGCTGAAGGAGAAGGAGAAGTGAGGAGTCAAGCCAGACTCTCAGGCTTCCCTTGGGAGCAGATGATAGAAATTTTCCCAGAAACAAAATAAAGGGAGGGTGTAGATTTGGCAACCAGCTAGAAAAACTTGAGTTTGACTTACTCAGCACCAGACTTAGACCTGGGCAACTGGGTCCCTCTTCTTGGCCCCATACTTGTGTGGCCCCATTCTAGCCTTTTCCTGGTCACCCCATTTTCCATGAGGAAGGGCAATTAGGTGGGGAAAAGAAAACATGTATACCTGGACCCAGTGATGCCTCCTTCTAGACCTTGCTCCAGGTAATGGGGGCCTGGGAATTCCCTGCCCAAATAGCCCTGGCCTGTGGCCTATCCCTAGAACTGCCGCCTCAGGATGGGTCCATACAGCTGGTATACACACTCCTGGTCCTAAGCAGCAGCCATGTGGTGGTGTGGAGATGAAACTTGGTTGTGCAACCCGGGTTATCCCCACACAAGGCCCCTTGAAGTGTGGAATAGAATAGGGGTTTGGGAAAGCATGGCTCTCCATTTGTCTTCTGCAAATATTAGAGACTGACCTGGAGGCTCTTAAGAGTTCCGAAATCTTCTCTTTTCTAGACTCGTTACAATACCAGCAACCCCACTCTACCCCACCCATGTTGGTCTCAGTTTCCATTGTTCTTATTATCTTGGTTACCCTCTTTTGAACTGATTCTAAATTTTGCAGAAGCAGGAATCTAGATAACTGCTGCATTTATTCCACAGTCAGGGAATATGGTTTTAATTACATGAACCAAATACCCCAAAGCACTGATGATTGTAGAGGTGACTCAGGTTTTGTAGGTAGGAGAGAGGGGAGCTACCTGGGTAAGGCTTTAGAGCTGCCAAGCTGTAATTCAGAGGAGCAGATGATAAGCAAAGGACAGGGAGGGCATCCAGTACCTGCATCTAAGAAGATTCCAGTAAGACAAAGGTAAGGTCCACTTTGCCTGCAAGTCTGTGTTCCTAACCCAGACTCCCCTCCACTCTTCCTTTTGTCTCTTTCATGAAATCCAGTAGTTCACCCTCTCTACCTTTCCCTCTGCTCCTGTTACAACACAGCGCCTTCTCCTTAGGAGCCACAGCCATCTGGATCTCTTCTCTGTGTGTCTGGCCACCTTGTCAACTCATCATCCTTTTAATAATCTCATCTGAAAACATATCCTTTCTCGTTTGCCCCTCAATTTTTCCTCCTCCAATGACTTTTCTTCCCTCCACCTCGCCCATTCTCTTTCTCTGAAGCATTATCATTATTACTTTATAGAACACTGGGGGATAGATTGCTCAGAAAATATGCACTGTAAAGTAAACGCATATGGCTATGTCTCTGAATTGCCGGGATCTAGACCAGCTGTGCAACTTCACAGGCCCAGCTGTTTACCTGTGCACAACCCAACAGCTTTTGTGATGTGGATGCTGGCTTAAAAGCTACTCCATTACTGGTCAGGAGCTTCATGTGCAGTTAACCCTAGATCACTGAGATCAATCAGACAGCAGCTCTGGTAGATGACTGGGGTCTAGTGCCCCTGGCAAGGCAAGTAGGAACACTTCTCCAGCTCAAGCAAGGAGCAGATATAAATTCCAGACCTTTGGGAGTGCCTGACATCTGTGTCCCTGTGGTGTTTCATAAGCCCTGACAGCTCCTCACCATTGTTTTGGGGACACCAGCACCCCATTGCCTTCCCTGGAAATGAATACTCTCTCCTGCTTCAAATCTTGTCCCAGAATGAAGGAGGGGAAATGATTGCACATACCAAAAAAGGTCAGACACCTGAAAGAAAAGGACGCACTGTACATGTTTGCATGGCTTCCAAGAGCCCTCTGCAGTTCCTATCAATTGGCTCTTTGGTGTGCCCCTCAGGTGGGGAGAAGCCCAGGATCACTCTGTCAACAGCTCTATCTATAGCTGAATCCCCATCCTTCACCCTGGGCTCTACTTGCACAAGGCTCACTGACCTCCAGGCTCAGCTGTGAGGATCAATCATCTCCTTCCAGAATTCATCATTCAGCAGCTGTGGGCCCTCAGCTATTTTTATCACCCCAGGAAGCCGGTGGCCAAGGACACTCTGGGCTACCTTTGCAGGAGGTGTTGCTGTAGAAACGAACAGCAGGTTGTCAGGGCAGCTGAGCCTCGGCTGCAAGGTTAAATCCAAAGTGCCTGACCTGGAACAGGAGAGCACTTGATCTTCCATTCTGCAGCAGTGAAAGAGCCCCAGAGGCTTATCCTGGGGAAGCAGATGTCCCATGGTGGGGACAAGACCAGGGATACCACGGAAGGACTTAGGGTGGGAGGGGGAGGGAAACAGGACATGCATGTGCTCCTGCCTGCATT